ATCATCTGGCATTTGACAGACAAACTGCTGGCAAATCTGGGACCCCCTGGCACTGGCCGGCATTAGCAAAGCTGTAGTTACTGACAGCAAGGTTGGCTGTGTGCTATTAACATCGTTAACTCGCGGGCTTTTTTTCTTAGCCTTCATTAACACTAGTAAGGATGTCAACCAGATGTCACTACCCGACTTTTTTGGTGTTGCATTTTTAAGGGGTGGTATCGCAAGTGTAGGACCTTGTCCCTTACCAGGTCAAGGTCAAGATATGTGGTGAGTGTATGCCATCAATCATGCTGATCAGTTTCGGTGGCCGTGTGTCTCTCATCCATCACACTGATGGGTTTCGCTGGCCGTGTGGCTGGGTGTTGTCCTCAGGGCTCTAGGTAATTAATAACCCCCGATGACAGAATTAATGAGTTAACCTGCTCCACTCTCCTGCTGTTCCAGTGACAGATGCTAACGGTCAGCAGCTAGTTGTCTCTGCTAATACGCCAGTAGTTCAGGTGTAGTGACTCAGACTGTCTTTTATTATCCATATGCATAAATGGTATATACATCCTAAGCTTTGACGTTTTTAAGCCCAACTTTAGACTGCAACCAGAGGGTAAGCAAAGTACTGATGGAATTTTTTTTAGCAGAATCCTCACCTGAGCGGCAAGCAATGATCTGCTTTCCATGGGGAGAAAAAGAGAAAAAAGAGACAGAAAAGATACAAAGGCAGAGACATATGGCACAAAGGCAGGTTGAACAGAGATCGCTGGCTCCTCAAGGTGCACAAGAAGGAGAGACTCTCCTTGCCCTCAGGTCCTGAAAGCTGATCGCTTCATTTTTTGAAAGAGTGGCTTTGTGAGGACTTCGCTGACTGCTCTTCTGAAGAGCGCTCACTGTTATGACTAAAAAGAGTGACAGGGTTTCATCACTTAAAGAAGATAAACCACGGCCTTAAAAGGAGGCAACGTGCTCTAGTTTAAACTGAATTCTCTTTTTTTTATTATAAGAGAGGCAATTGTTCTGCCTGGGCCGGCCTAGTTATTGTGTGCCGTGTGCTGGGTGTTATGTTCCCGGGGTTTTTGGATGGCTATTGTAGCGCAGGTTTGCTCTCATGCTTTCAGTCCCCAGTGTATACTTTGTTGTGTAGGCTGCAGAATAGCTTGCCTATCAGGCTTTGCATGAGGGTCACTCAAGGTAGGCTGCAGTGGGTGTGTGTGTGGGTAGATGTGGTTTTATTTGGCAGCAGGGTAGGGAGCATCTATAGCTGCTCAAAGCCTAATGTGTAGGATGTTGCCACTCAGAAGAAAACTTAGCTGGGTTTTAGTTGGCTTGCGTGTGGGTAGCTATCATTGTATCATTAACTTTTGTGCACTCCTGTTTTTTTTTTTGCAGTTGGCTGTGTCGACAGTTTTGTCTTAAACATAAGTTCTTGCTTTCCCCTCCCCTCACGTGGTGTGACCAATTCAAGCAGCAGAAACCCCACCGCACAGACAAAACCACTCATTAACTCCCACAACCCTCTTCCTCCACCCTCATTACCCCCTTTCCTCCAAACATGCTTTAGCTTAGAGACAACAGGGATGGGGATGGGGGAAAAGACAAAAGGGAAAAAGACTAAAGCCAGAGAGGAGGACTGAATGAGTGAAAGAGCTGCTAGGGGAGAAAAGGGGTAAGAATGTGATGTCCCGGTCTATGAGGGATTCCATTTTTTCCCTTTCCAGAATAGAACAGTAAGTCACCAGTCTCTTTGTCTGCCTTTGATCTCTCAGCTCAGGGATTTGGCACCTGACAAAACCCCCTCTGACTGAAAGGAGGCATGCCGAGTGGGAGAGGGTGAAGGAAAGTGAGAAAAATAATATAGGAGAGTTAAAGAGTGTCTGGGCAAAAAAGGACAGTATAAATAAGATGGTGTGGAAAAACTGGGTTAGACTTTTGAGAGCTGTATGAGAGTATATGATGAGGGCTTCTCAGCTTAGATCCCATAAAAACTAAGTACATGTGTGCTTGTGTGTTTGTATTGGTGTCTGTGTGTGGTTTTGTCACGGCTGCTCCGGACAGTGATAAATCCAATGAGTCTTAAGGGAGATTCCTCTCTGAAGCCACGGTCTTTTGGACCACCCACTACTGCGGTCTCTTCCTTCACACACACTCACACTCCTAATAGGAAGCAAAGTCTCCAGCTTTACTAGGATATCGACCTCTCTTTTCCCTTGACTGTTCCTTTCTGCAGGGGAGTTGCTGCTGTAAACAAGCTCTCATATGTTGACATCACATTTTCAAACAATTTCTAAAACTGCAGGTTTGAAGTCATGCAAGGAATTCTGGGACAGCCTGTGGGGACTCAGCCAGGGACGACTTAATAACTGATGAGTGAAAAACTCATCAACCGTGCACAGTATGAGGTAGCCTGCTCTTAGACTGTCTTTTTAAAGAGGCTCAGGTCCAAAGTCTGTGAAGCATGGGACTCAATTAACTCTCCCTCCAGCTTTTAGCAAGAGGGCATCATCTCCAACAGCTGGTTGACCCCACTGTCAACTCTAAACACTTTCCTGATCAGCGCACATGTATAAACCTTATTAACAACTTTGTGTTTTGTCAGCTGAAGCAGTCACAGTCTTTTCAACAATACTCACAAATCCCAGTGTCCTTCTGTCTCTAGTGATGACACTGGGTGTTGAAAGATTGCTTTAAAGATAGAGAGATAACACAAAGCACCTCCAAACTAATCTCTCTGCTTTTTTTGCAACTGTGAAGAAAAGGAATGGAGGCTTCACGCACCCCTGCAGGCTACAATCAAAGAAGCCCTTAGCTTAGCGTTAGCGTGTGAAGCTGCGGGGATTTAGCCCTGATTGACTGAGTGGGAATGGGTAAAGAATGACTCAGCAGGTAGCAGCTAGCCCAGTTCAGTTAACGCCATGCAGCGCTAATACATCTGCTACAGAGGAGTGGCTGCAGCGTAAAGAGCTTGACTTTATTACACCTCCAAGAGAGGGATTTCCCAGTATTTTATGGAGTTTGTGGATTTCCTCTTCTGTTTGTATATCTGAGCATGTCGGGTGGTTGGTGGAATGTGTGTTTTTGTTGGAGGACACACTTCCTCCTCTCTACGGTATATGTGGATAAGCACTGATTTGATTTCGAATGTGGTGAACACATCTGGGGGTTTGTTTATGTGACCGTTCTTTTGTATGCAGGATTTCCTGACGTGTTTATGACTGAGGCATTGAAATCCATAGAAGAGAAGGCTCTGAAATGCACATTTAGATCCAAGTTGTGTATGTGCTTGTGAGGACACTCAGACTTTGTGTGTGTGTGAGTGCAGGGGAGGATCACTTTACTCCTGTACTATAAGTGTGTAATTATCGGATTTATATTGGGTATAAATTTACCCATCTGTCTCCAATGAGTCTTTTTACATCATAACAAGATAGACAGACAGACATGCATGCACGAGTGCACACACACACCCACACATCACCTACTGTACCAAAACCTCAACCACCGCACACACACACACACCCACACACCACCTACTGTACCAAAACCTCAACCACAAACTCATTGACCTCAATACCATTTGCTGCCCACTGCCAAGCACACAGCCACCTTATTGACTGAGAAATTATGTGGTCCAATCAGTGTTGCGACTATCTGCGCCGCACCTCTCAGAGAATTGTTCTTGTGTCCTCCTCTTCTGGTTCAGCGCTCGGGGTGTGAAATATAACCCAGATAGGTTTCCCCAGCCATTACAGAATTGAATAGATGAGGGAGAAACTCCTTGAAAGACGAGCCTCCCGATCAAACTGTCACTCAAAAGAAAGGCGAACACTGTCACCAAAAGTCAGAGAAGTGTCACTTAGGTTACCATCGCAGACTAAGATGTGTGTGTATGTGTGTAGTTTAATTCCTCCATGTTGAAAGAAACCCTGTGAGAGTGACACATCTCTCCTGGTGTGCCAAATGTGGTGGCATTTGTTTGTTAAATGGTCTGAAATACCCCCAGCTCTGGTTTCATTGTCACTCCAAGCCTTGCCAAAAGTGCATAGTTTGAATTTGTGAGAAAGTCGACCAGTATTTGATCGTCAATTTTTTTTCTACAGGAAATGGCGCCCTTTACTCCAGTTCTGTTGTTTTTGATAATAGTGCACAGGTTCGTGAGAAAGTGATAGGAGAAACAAGAGAACGTAAGATGGAAAAATGGAGAAAGTGTTTTGGAGAGAAATAAAAGCCTCTAGGCAGTTTATTGTTTTCTTGCTGCTAATTGGGGAAATATGCCCATGATCACATCATTCTCTTCTTCTCTTCCATTGGAAAACAATTTAAAATCAAGTGCAATGCTATGGCAACATCCCCTTATTACCAAAATCTTATATCTAGTGCAATGTTGATGCTTATCCTAGATGTTGCCTAAAAACTACTTTCTGATTATTTGTATTGTTGGTCTGTCTAGACTAAAATATCTTAACACCTACTGGACGGACAGTCATGCACCTGGTGATGGCAAAGTACCTAACCCAGTGAACTATTACATCTGACATTCATGCTTCCTAGACCAAGTACTGTAATGGCTTTGATATTCCCCTGTGTTTTATCCACATGAATTTTTGCACCAACAATTGGATGGGTAGGTACAGACAAACACGACCAAATACCTGCAAAACTAATGGCATTCCCAGCAGTCCCAACTGTACTCTGTGTTAATAAGCAAATCTAAAGCTGCTAAACTGAGATGGTTAAACCTGTAAATGGTACACCTGCTAGGTAACAGCATTATCTGTGTGAGCATGTTCTCCTGCTGACATTAGAATTTTGCTAAATCCTCCACTGCGGAGCCTTGTGGAGTCGTTTGTGTGGCCGTTAACTGTGACGTGTCTATATTCTTCCTCTCTAGTATAAAAGTACTTCACATGATATACTTGTATTTCAGGTCAAAGCCACACCCAGCTGATAATGCATGTTGATAGTCACATCTAACCAAACCTACCCTCCTCTGTGACCTTGTTATCTTTCAGCCTGTAAGATTGGTTACTACCGTGCTCTGGCCACCGATGGCGCCTGTTCCAAGTGTCCACTCCACAGTTACTCTATAAGGGAGGGATCTACCTCCTGTGCCTGTGACAAGGGATACTTTCGCTCTGAAACGGACCCAGCATCCATGCCCTGCACCCGTAAGTACACCCGCATGTAGTACAGGAAAGCATGACATACAGTTATATGAGCAGTATGCCACATTATGCTTCACAGTGATTTGTAAACAGCCTAATCTGTTTTGCTATGTCTGCTACTGCATGCTGTATTAGTAACAAGATTTTAAAAAGACTCTGAAACACACACACATATGCACACACAGGGCTATTGCCTCCACCTAAACATGGTCATGGATTCTGTCTCTTTCTCACATGCAGTGTCAACCCGAATTATGCCCTTGCACACACAGAGACAGTCTTCCTGCACACACATAAAGCAGGCAGCTGCTGGTTTAATAGCTGTTTTTTGATTCCAGGTGGGACTTAGTGATCAGTCATGGTGACAGAGAACTAATGAGGGTATAAACCGCTGCATCCCAAATTCAGCCTTCCACAGAGAGACCACAAAACAACAGAGGAGGGTAGAACAATGCAGAAAGACAAATAGAGAGAAAATGCCAGAATAAACAAGGGCAGAAGAAAAGCTGGAGATGTAAACAAAGAATGAATAAAATGTTGATAAAGAAAAAGGGTAAGGTACCAAGGAGAAAGAAAGTGGAAATAGATGCAGGAATACATTGAGCGGTGTGCAAATCTGGCTGTGTGAGTCAACCTCTGGTGAAACTGCTTCATTCGAACTTTCCCCCTGAATCACTGTGACTGTGATAGCAAATACTGTTACCAACCTTGCTGCCTAATGATAACCGCTTTCTTTTTTAGTTCTCATTCCCTCTGAGTCATGGAACTGGGAGGTTAAACTTGTAGAAATATACAAAGAACAAAAAGCAAAAACTGCATAACACTCAACACCCTACACTCTTATTTCCCAGGAAAATAGCAGTATTCAGTCTTTTATATGACAGATGTTTATGTATGAGTGAGTATTTGTCATAAAGCAATTTTAACAACCAAAACATCTGTTAAGTTGCTTAACTCATAGTTGGCTCATCATATGACCTGAATGATTTGAGGTTCCTGTGGATTCATCAGTCAGCAAAACAATGAATTAAATCGGACAATCAAACCTCAACACTCAACTGTCTAAGTAGCAGCAAAACCAAATGGCCTCTAATTATTCCCCTACTGTATGGGATCTATGCAAGATCATAAACAAAGCTCTGCTGTGGAATATTTTCATGATGAAGACTATGACATAGTGTTATACATGAGTGACGTGGTAATCTGTAAAACCCATTATTGAATTTTGGTTATAATTTGCTTCTAAGTGTGGATTTCTGAACTGTTCACACAAAGAGTTTAGACTTTATTTCCAGCAAAAAGAAAAGCTTTTGTATGAACAACTGCTGTTAGACTTGTGTCATACATACTGGCAGTAGAAAGTAGCAAGACATATATGTTTGTGTGAATTTGCCCCAAGAAGATGATGGACTAGCAACAGTGACTGCGTTTACAGGCACTAACTGTATGTAACTAGAAACCTGGTTTCCAAATTTGAGGTAGGGGATTAGACAAGCCTGATTTCCTGAGATTTTCCCCAGAGAGCACTGATTTGTCTGCCATACAGGTAACAAGGTTCCTAATTGCCTTTTTGCAATTAAGCATGCCCATGCCAAACGACTGCGGACAGTGAAAGTAGTGGAGTGAAGTGGTTGTTCAGCTTTGGCTATAGAAACTAAAGAGGAAAACACAAAAGAGCAGCTGTTTATGAAAACAAAAACAATATGCTTAAACTACAATGCATCCAATAGAATATTTTCAAATCTTAAACAGATTTTTTTGTGTGATTTATTCTTTATTACAATTTTAACCAGTTTGTAATACTTGATTAATTTTAATAAACACTGATAAATCTTCAAATAAAAAATAAATAAAATATATGAGCCACACTATTATTACATGCTCCTGCCTAATTCTCTTCTTGAGTTGGGAGGTCGTCCCCATTGTCTTGTTGGTCAGATGGCATTTGAGCATGGCCACTGCAAGCAACAGCTGTCAAAGCTCATTACTTGGTTGATTTCATAAGACCCTGCTATGTCACATGCTGCATTCCTAACTCACTGTTTAGAAACTGAGCATTAGCCGGGCTCCTTCACCAACCTTTGCCCCGCCTCGTCAGCCGATCAACATTTGATCTTTGAACTCTCACCCTGTCTATCGTCTGCTGTTTTCCTTCCTCGTGCATTTTTTTTTACCTTCTCACCCACGTTACACCTCTGTAATTACAGCTGTCACTCATACATACCTCTCTCATTCTCTGAAAACCCACTCAGAGTCTCACATGGAGAGAACGAAGAAAAAAACCCTCTTAAAGTCTTTTCCCAGTCTGCCTTGCTGAAGGTCAAGCTGGGAAAGAGCCAGCATCTCTGGTAATTGAGGTCCATGTCTGTGCGTGTGTGTTTATGGGTAATTGAAAACGCGTTTCCCCTCTCAGCTCGGGGTCTAGCAATGCCAGATGGTGATTAAAGCTGGATGTTGTGTAATTCCGTCAGTGAGCAGGTCTGTTACTCCTCCTAGGTCTCTTTTAGAGTTTTTCTTGCATCTTTACCCTTTCACCATTTGCCTGTTGTTCTTTTGATCTGCAACTAATGTTGCATCTCATCCAAACACTTGCATTCCAGATTAGAAATAAGATCCAGTCCAGTCACTTGCCTCCCACACTTTGGATCACTCTGCCTGAGGAAACATCCATCCATTCCATCCATTTTCCTCCGCTTATCCGGGACCGGGTCGCGGGGGCAGCAGTCTAAGCAAAGATGCCCAGACTTCCCTCTCTCCAGACACTTCCTCCAGCTCCTCCGGGGGAATGCCGGAGTCCAAAGCTCTGACAAATGGTACACCACGAGGGATTTACTGGCTGCAATGCCAAATAATAGACACACTTTCTTCTGATTCTATTACATGTTGCACCTCTTTACATTTAGATAACTACAAATATCAGACTTCACTTTTAGTTGGAGGTTTGTAAAAAAAA